CTGCACGGCCTGCTCTTCCGCCACCAACTGCACGGCATGTGCGTCCAACTACCTGCGCCACAACGGCGGCTGTGTCTCCTCCTGCCCCAGCGGCTTCTTCGCGGCAAGTGGCGCGTGCTCGGCCTGCCCGGCCAACTGCACGAGCTGCACCTCCGCCAGCCAATGCACCGGTTGCCAGAGCCGGTACTTCCTCCCATCCGGCACCGGGCTGTGCCAGCTTTGCCATGTCTCTTGCGCGGCGTGCACCAGCAGCACGGCCTGCACGGCCTGCCAGCCGGGGCTGGTCTTCCTCGAGGCCGATCCCCAGGTGGATGCCCTGTGCACGGCCACCTGCCACGCCGGCGAGTACGCCGGCCCCGGCCGGTGTGCCGCTTGCCACAGCTCCTGCGCCCTGTGCACCGGCACGGCCCGCGCCTGCCAGGCGTGCGCCCCCGGCCACCGGTGGGATGCCCAGGCCCCGGTCGGGCCCGACGCCGCGGCACCCTGCACCCCCTGCCCCGATGGGTGTACCGCCTGCACCGCGTCCATGTGCCTCTCCTGCCGGGAGGGGCTCTTCCTCTCCCCGGCCGGCAGCTGCTCGGCCACCTGCCCGAGCAAGATGTACCCCGACGCCCCGAGCCGCACCTGCCAGTCATGCGACCCCACATGCGCCGAGTGCCGCGGCCCGGCCGGCCACCAGTGCACCTCCTGCATCGCGGGCCTCGAGCCCCTGCCGGCTGCCGGCAGCCCGCATGCCTGCCTGTCCCCCTGCCCGGATGGGGAATTCCGCCCGCCGGGCTCGCCCGCCTGCCAGCCCTGCCACACGGCCTGTGCCCAGTGCAATGGCCCGACCGATCGCGACTGCTGGCGCTGCCAGGACACCCACCTGCAAGAGGGCCAGTGCGTGCAGCAGTGCGCCCCGAAGCATGTGCCCCAAGCCGGCCAATGCATGCCCTGCCATGCCTCCTGCGGCTCGTGCTCCGGCACCCGGTCCCTCGACTGCACCGGCGCCTGCCCGGACGGGCTGCTGGCCACCCGGCAAACGCCCACAACCATGCTCTGCCGGGACACCTGCCCGGAAAACCACACCCCCATCGGCCTCGACTGCCTGAAGTGCATGGACAACTGCGTCCGGTGCTCCCGGGGCCCGGACATCTGCGACCAATGTGCCCGGAATTGGCTTCTCAGCCATGGCCAATGCGTCGCCACCTGCCGGGAGACGGCCTTCTCGGTGGGCACCAGCTGCGTGGTCTGCCATGAGAGCTGTGCATCCTGCTTCGGGCCCGGCCCGGACCAGTGCCTCACCTGCCCGGCCAGGGCCCCGCTCCTCCATGAGTACCGCTGCCTCGCCGGCTGCCCGGCCGGCACCTACCAGCATGCGGAGACATGCATGCCCTGTAGCCCCGCCTGCGCCACGTGCCACGGCCCGGCCGCCCACCAGTGCACCTCCTGCCCCGGGGCCCAGGTCCTGGCCGGCGACGGGGCCTGCATCGACGCCTGCCCCGACGGGCAGTATGCCCACACCACCGACGACCATGGCCGGCTGTGTCGGAGCTGCTCGACCCACTGCCGGCAGTGCCACGGCCCGGCCGACCACCAGTGCACCGCCTGCCCGGGTGATGGGCTCCTGCAGGCGGGCCGCTGTGTGGCCAGCTGCTCGCCCGGGCACTTTGCCTGCCCGGGCCCGGCTCGCACGTGCGAGCCCTGCCCGGCCGGCTGCGCCGCCTGCCAGCATCACCACACCCCGGGCCCGGCGCCCTGCGAGGCCTGGTGCACTGCCTGCCAGCCGGGCCGGCTCCTGTCGCCGCTGACCGGCGCATGCGGCCAGGCCTGCCCGGCGGGCGAGGTGGCCCCGCCGGCCACGGCCCCCGACGCCGCCCGCTGCCGGCCCTGCGCCGCGGCCTGTGCCACCTGCCATGGCCATGCCGCCCGGTGCACGGCCTGCGCCCATGCCACGGACTGGCTGCTGCCCGAAACGGGCAGCTGCTCCCCCGGCTGCCCGTCGCCCGGCTACACCCCCTCGCCGGTGGACCGGGCCTGCCTCCCCTGCCCGGAGCACTGCGAAGACTGCGCGGCCGGCCCGGACACCCGGCCATGTGCCACCCTGCCGGATGGCGCGCTCAGCTGCCCGGCCGCCGGCTCCTGCCTCCGGTGCGAGGCCCCCTACGTGCTTCTGGACCAGGCCGCCTGCGTGCCCACATGCCCGGCCGGCTTCTTCCACCACCACGAGGCCCCGGTGCCAGCCTGCGCCCGGTGCCATCCGGACTGCGCCACCTGCATCGGCCCCGAGAGCCGGGATTGCATCGTGGACAATGCCCCGGCCGCCCGGCGCCTGTACCTCGGTGCGCGGATGCCGCCCCCCCCCCCCCCCCCCTCCCCCCTTCCCCCTTGACCGGACACCATGGGCGCCCTCGTTCTCACTCGAATCGCCCCCCACCCCTGCTCTCGCGCCCCAGCCCTGGGTCTTGGCCTCGGCCTTGGCTTCCTGCTCCTGTGTCTGCTCGTGGCCGTGGCCGTTGGCATGCTTGCGCGCCGCCGCCGCCGCCGCCGAGCGGCAGCCAAAAACCCCGTACGCTCGTCCCCATCGGCGCCGCGCCGCGCCTCGGTCACAAGCCCTGGAGCCTCTCTAACCC